AACAACATAATTTAGAAGAAATGGAAGAATTGATTAATCAATTACCATATAATCATGAAGATATTCTTAATATAAATAATTATATTGTAATTGATTACTCATTTGAAAATTTAGATATTACAATTGATTACTCATTTGAAAATTTAGATATTATAAATGAGGATATTATAGATTTTGTCAACAAAAAAAGGCCAAATCTGATTCAGCAATCAAAAATATTAATAGTCTTATTAATTTTATTGAACAAGATTCTGAATTGATTTGGATAATAATTATATAGAAATGCTCAATTCTTTGCAGCAAAAAATTTTACAAAAATATAAGAGTTAGATTTTTTATTCAAAATATTATATAATATTATCCCTCCTCACCAATCTCTACATCCTCTACTTTAACGGAAGAAAGGTCAACTCGAACGATGGCGGACGTTGTGAAAAATTATAAGACGGAAGAGCTTATCGACTATTTACGCCGGCAAGACTTAGATCTTAAAGAATCTCATTTCAAGATTTTCCGGCAGGAAGTGATCACTGGTCGTGCATTTCTCAAATTAACCAAAGCAGATTTTCGAGTATAGGGTTCACATCGGGTACAGCAACCGTTCTTGTAAATTTTATCGATGAGATATCGGAGCAAAAATTAAGAGAGGTTTCTCGACATATAAACGTTGGAAGAACTGAAAGACGTACTCCGCAAATATAAGGTTAACGGGGAGGATATAACAAGCATCAAAAAATTCAATCCGGGTATGTGTTATTATTTTTATTTTTTTTCTTGGCATTATTTGGGCGAACTTTTCATCAAAATAGTTCGCTAAAATTTCTTGGCAAAAGTGGTCGAACATATGTTATCTGCTAATTTATTTTCCCATTGTATAGTTTTCAAGGAAATCGATGACTAAAACGCTTGAGCAGTGTATGAATGAAATTATATTGAGACTTTCGAATCTGGAAACAATGCAAGATAGTACCAATGAGGCTACGCGTTGTGTATTTAGTACATCGATATTAAACGCATCTCTGGACATCGTTCGACGACTTAGCAAAGAAGAAAAAATCCATATCGCATATCAAAAAGGTGTTTTCGGTGAGGAGGCATCTGGCCGTGTCGATTTTGCGATAAAAGGAAACGAGGATCTTATGTGTATAGCCGAAGGAAAACCTCGAAATGTCGAAATTGGTTATCTTCAAAATATTATGCAACTAGAAAGTGCATACCAGAAGAAGCGTACAGCAGATGAAGCATTCAAGGATGATGATTACGATTATCTCTATGGGATAGTTTCTACAGGTATGAATCCCGCAATAGAATTTTTGACTATATCGCATCTAATTTTATAATTTTATTTTTTTCAGCTACAGAATGGCACTTCATCGCCTTTACCACCGACGGTCTATATTGTACCAGTAAAAGCGAATATCGAATTAATCTTTCCAAAACGGCTCTCGAGGATGATCTTGAATCAATTCGAAAAGGGGTGAAACGGGTATTAAGTGTTATTGTTGAGTTGTTGAAGGATCGAGTAACAGTCGATAACTCTCCTGCTAGTAAGAGATCACGAATCAAAAAATTTACTAAAAATAAGGGGTAGATTGTTTCCCGCCTCACATGTATTTTATTTTGTATCAATAAACAATCAGGCCTAAATGCTACTAACCACATAGTACAAAGTTTTTAATACATGCTGAGATTATTATATATATATAAAAAGCTAATCATTAGATTCTACGAGAATATGAATTGAGATTTCGGCAGGACTTTTATCAAAATAATCGCTGATTTTTTTTTCAGGTTCCATACGCACATATTCTCTACGTTCAATGTCGACTGCACGAAGATTAAAAGAACCATTTCCGTACTCGTTAAAGTAATAATCCCAGATTTTAGTACGTAATGCGTTGACAGATTCATTCTTAGAAATAGGAATTTCATTCAGCGTACTTCGATACCCAAAAAATGCGCCAGTAGGAATGACAAGAAATACGAGGTGGATATAATCCATTTTCTATAAAAATATAGATCACATTAGTTAGACTTTCATTAGCCCATGCCAATGTTTTTACGGCAGACAAGCAAAATAAACGTACCTTTTTCTTTTGGATATAAGCGATAATGGAGTATATAGTATATTTATATATCTATTGAGTTATTAGCTCTGCTAATTCGCAGATTAATAATTTGGAGTACCGTACAATATGATGCAATTTATATCTTTTTCTAAACTAGAGAGGAAAAAAGGGTGATTGGTTGGTTACATGAAATCTATATCCAGCGAATAGTTACGTATTAACTAGCTAAGTTACTTCCGTTCATTTAAGAACGCAAATCGAAAGTGAGATTATTATTAATTGGGTTAGTTACAAGATCGATTGATTATTTGAATTGGTCCACTATTCACGGAGGTTAATACCCACGTTTGGAATTATTATCGGAGATGGTGATATTAATACTAACTTCATGTTTTATTGTATTGTAGTAAAAATTGAAGTGCTGGGGGTTACCCATGACTCTTTGAGTCGTCCCTGTAGGCCTGCCTCGTCCCTACCGTCCAAGTCTATAAATAAATCTGATCTGTGATTTTTTTATATAAAGGCGGAAAAAATCTTTATCATTCCATTTACCCTACTCGAAATTATTTTTTCGGGAAAAAGATAATATATACGTTCCAGATCCAATCAATATATACCATAATTTTTCTGGCTGAGTATTTATACCCCTTCTAAAGAAGCTTCGAGTACAAAGTACGTTTATTTTTATTTGTTTATATGCTACGATACCCACGCTCGTGTGTATATGCTAATAGTTTATTATTCGCTTATAGATGACATCAATTGTTGTTTCGGGAATTGATCCACTTCAGGACTTCTCCGGCCTAATGATGTTCATTGAGAAAATCTCCTGCTTGCTTATTGGTAAATCCAAAGAATTTTAACATTAATCAACACTTCTACTGCAAGACTTAATGAGATCGAACAAGTTCTTCAAAGAATCGAAGAAGCAGAACCTGGAAACAATGTAAATCCTCGAGACGATGCAAATATATGGGTAGGGGCTCGGTAAATTCCTCCCTTTAAACGTCCACTACTCAATATTTTTTATTCAATTCACCTTTTTGATCAATGAAAAAAAATAAAGATTCCTTGTATTCAATAAGCTATCTAATTAAAAATCGTACAAATTGATTAGGAGAAATATTGAATCACATTATCCCTAATCCATTCAGTATGTGTTAAATGCCATCCTAAATATCAATGTTTCCTGATGTAACATACTTCTGCAAACGAAAATCATTAAACATATTGTTTATATTCGGAACAACGAAATATAAATGGATCGGTAGACCTTTCAGATGATTCTCCAATTTACTAAGACCGTTTACCTGCATAACATGAACATATTCAGTTTGTAATAGTAGATATAAGGGTAATATAAAGACCAATATTTACCTTGGTATGATGCGTTTCTGCAGTTGTCATCTGATATAAATGATGAATTCCATTACATTGAGGTGCAATAGCATCAACAGATTCAAAATTTGTACCTTTGGGAATATTATAACACCCCGGAGTTATTTCATCAATATCACGAAACTGTTTGTGCGTCAGATTTTGAAGATGAAGTTCTTCTTCGGGCTGTTTAATGCCATCTTTGGTTAATCGTCGTACAGTAAAATCACCACCTCTTCGCAAGATATCATGTGCTACTATTTCAAAGAATTTACCAGCTAATGTGCCACCAGCACCTCCCGCAAAATTTCGGATTATATTTATAATCGTGTCTTTTGTATGTTTTTCATAGTGTCTGTACAAAGCCTCCCATATTTCTGTTAAAGCAGGAACATATGTTTTGTCTGTAAAATCAAAATTAGGAATAATATGTATGGCTTTTCCGGAATAATTGTCTCCTCCGTCATTTTTAAGGTAAGCGTATGCATCACATTGAGAGATTACATCATCAACGTTCGGTTCATCATCATATTCATCAAAAACTAGTCTTGGTATACATTCCCACCGCGCAATCAACTCCTTGACTCGATTCTCAGATATCTTATTCTTATACTTTCATTCCAAACATCCCAAATTTCTTCTTCTGTCCAAATGGGAGCGTAATATTTCCCAACACGCCCCTTTACATATTCATGCCATCGGCCACTTTTTGGTGTCGTAACTATAAATGTGAATCTCGTTTTCCATGGAGCAGGAATTACAGAATCGGCAATATAAATCTATCTTGTGGGTATTCAAGCTGTAGATCAGGAATTTTCATTACACTCGCGTTTGGTTTGATATGATGAGTACGAGAATAGCTTTGGAATATTGTTCATAGATTATATCTGCTGGGAAATACCGACGAGTTATATAGAAAGCTAAATATAGCGAAAAGTGTGTTTTTCCAATGCCAGAAGATAATACATCCTTTTTTGTCATGGTGAACACGGTCATATTCAATCTTTTCTATCATATGCAAGTATGACTTCTTTATTAATATATCCTGTGTTGATATTCCATAGACTATTCCATTTGGAGATTTACGGAGACGCAGAAATTTTACAAAATTCATTCTGATCTTTTTTGATTCCTCTATCACGGATTCACCATTGTTAAGTATTAGCTCATCCTGTGCATTTAACATTACATGGTTACTAAGAATAATTTCGTTCCCTTTAACACTCATGTACTCAGATAATGGTCCCGACATGAACATAGTTGTGTCAATATTATCTGGCAATTTAAGGACAACTTGTGCTTCAGAAAGTTCATTCCAAAATTCTTCTTCAAGAGGAGCAACAGGTTTACGGTTATAAATTTGAGATTCACCCGGTCGTTTCTCTGGGATGGAAAGTGATTCACTAGTGGTTCCTGATTGAATAAATTAACAAGATATGAGATAACCGCAAATTTCTTGTTCGAGGTAAAACATTGGGAGACACTTACCAGTGATGACAGGCAGTTGACAATAATTCGGATGTTACTAGTGGATTCGTGAAAATATTTTCCAACAGTTTTGAATGGAGATAACATCATACCCTCTTTGATATTTTCGGCAGATATTTTGGTTGCCATATCTTCATCTTCGGTAGGAATATCCACACACCATAGCTTCAGACTGTCAGCGTCAACATTGGCAAAGGTATTTTCCTTCTCCTTCTTGATGAGTTTCTTGAGATGTCCAACAGCCATGTCTTCACTAACATCAACCGGGAAAGAATTCCCAATGGCATCACCTAAAACGACACCAAAAATCTGGAAACTCATTAAAAAAATACTTATAAAATTGTATTAACAAAATTTCAAATTACCATGATTTCTGCGGTACCGGATAACATTACGCGTACAAATTACTAAAAATGGTTATTGTGTTCGTGTTCAAAGTAAAAAAATGGTTCAGTGAAAAGTGCGTAACTGACGTATTTATAATTGAAACTCCGCCAAGGAGTAATGGTTATCGTGTTCGTGTTCAAAGTAAAAAAATGTTCGTATTTATAATTGAAACTCCGCCAAGGAGTAATCCGCTTGCATAAATACATAACCTGTGTAACTTATTCTCATAAAATATCGCAGTTGACCAATAACATTTTACAAAAAAAATAAATTATAAGCTATGTCTATCACGCTTTTTTGTCTTGTTCAAGGTAACCACGCTTAGCAGGCTTTCTCAGTTAAGATTGGGAGAGATGAACCTATTAGTGAATTAAAGGACGCTATCAAGGCGAAAAAGCACAAAACTTTCCATGACGTAGATGCAGACAAGCTCAAACTATGGAAGGTAGAAATTCCTGACGATCGTGACGATCAGCTGAGCAATCTCTTACTGAACTCCTTGCGACGAAAAAGATCTCACTCACCTGCCAAGGAAAATATACATGTCATAGTCGAACCACCCACATTAACCGCCACTTCGAACCGTGAACAGGAATTGCTAGACGAACTCACCTCATT